TTATATGATTTATGTGTCAAAAAATTCAAATATTTTTTATAGCTGCTCAATTTCAAAAGAAAGGTCGTTCTGTATGTAGTTAGCGGCCTTGCAATTAACACTCTTGAACTAATTTTAATATCAAATTTTCATTGATAACTAACGAAGTCATTGAACTACATATAAAATAGTAAAACTGAATGAAAGCAGTTAGGTTAGATTAGTTTAGGTTATGTCGGTGATTCAAAGGCACCCACTGAATGATATGAACTTAAATGAATTAAAGCAATTAGATGAAAATAAAATTTTATAATACCTTAAATACCATAAAAATTCTATATAAAATAGAAAAATGAATTTTGTCACATTTTTAAAATAAGTTAATAATTTAAGGTTTGAACATGTTGAATTAAGTATTATTAACTTTATTGCATTTTAAAAAAATTTATAGGAAACTACTATAATTATTATTACTCTTGAAAGTAAGAATTCGGTCAGACCCGAATCCGTTAATGGAGGGATCGGTATGAATTCTACTACCCAGTATGAATTCGGTAATTATTTTTATTAAGTTGAAAGTGATGGTTATAAATAATAATAATAATAATGTTATTATTAACCCTTCATCTCACACCCTATTCCTGCTAGATATTTACCGTATGCAATCATCAAATAAATATATTTAATATATATACTTAATAATATAATTAAATGTATATAATTAATGAATAATTTTATATATTTATAAAACATTTAAATCAATTTTATATTCAATTAATCTAATTTACCAGGTGAATTGTGTTTATTGATAGATTTCCAAAGTCTATTGACCTTTAAGAAAATTATTACCGAAATGACCGACCAATTTGAAAAGATTCCATATAGACATACCAAAATTACACTGTCGATAGTTGGTATCTGACTAGATTCTTAATCATTTTGTATGGATATATATAGGATATTTTTTTACTTTTTCATATTAATTATCTTTTCTATTTATTTAGTAAACGTAAACATTTAATCACAAAAAATACGTTTTAATGATATCTTAAATACGAATTCTATCAAAGATCCAAATTTTGATTCATAAGAAAACATAACTCTTATTAGTTACTATTTTTATATAGTGGCAAATATAAAATTATATAGTGGTGAACATCTGATGTAAAGATAAAATACTTATTACAATATAAATAGCTTACCGGAAAATATGAGACTAATGAGGTAAGTCATATACCAGAGAAGATAAATACAAGCGCAAAGTGGATCAAAGTGAAAATCGACTACTAAATCCAAAATTGTAAACTGATACCTTGAGAAAGGCTGAACTGACAATTTCTTTATAATATAGGAAATTACTAAATTTTAGTCTCGCATTTGTGAACCCCATTTAATCAAAGAAAAGATTTCTCTTCAAGGAATAAAATAGCGAGTTCTCAATGTGCTTTTAATTTTTTGCTTTGAATGAAAGCCAAGTTATGAAAATCTGTGAGTTTAGTTTGAATCTTATACTGTTCAAAACGTTTAAAGGGATATAATCTGATATCGACCAAATATTTACCAATTCACCAAATAAACTATAAACCACATGATAGACATATACTTAATTTTGTTATTTATTAGATGTTAGCATTAGCATTAGCATTAGTAGCATTAGCGATGTGTCATATACTACGCCTATCGATATACTTCATAAAAATTAAATCGTATTTACTATTTTGTATTTTTTAAATTCAAGCAAAATAGTTCGTATCCACATTTGATTACAAATTTCTTTATGATCACTTCTATTTTTTTAAATAATAATGTGTTTTAAAATAACTTACAAAAATAAACAAAAATACCAATACTTTCCTCATAATCCATAAATATTGATAGTAAAACACATATATGATTGTACCAACTTCATTGAGAAAGATAGAAGATTGAACATATTTACCTGATTGAAATCAAAACTCGTATTAACATAAAAATACGTGCAAATAGAGAGAGATCCAATCTGTTAGATCAAGAAGATACAGGGTCCTAAGTTCTATAACAATATGTATCGGATGAATATGGATAATTTAAAATGAAAAATATTCAAAAAATAGATCTCCTAATAAAATATTTTTAGGCTTTGAATTGTTCCTTAGAACTTTACTTTAAACATTGTATAGTATATGAAGTATAATTTTATGCTGAAGAGAAAATGCTTCACCTTTGCTGAATGTATTGTATGGACGTAGAGATCATACACATCATATGCAGAGATCTTGCGTTTATAATTAGGTTGTGATCGTATAACTAAAAAGATTTTACACTTTCAGGGATATTTTGATTTTTTATGGATTACATTTGTATTTCGTTTGAGCATCGTTCACATTGAAAATGTGGGTTCCAATTTTGAAAATTTTGATTGGTAATGTCTTAAAATTATAAATATATATTTAAAAATGCAGCGTCATTTAATTACCATTTTCCAATATTTCAGAAAATACCAATTAATTACAGTTTATTTACCGTAAATGTTAAATTGATATGTATATTTGTGTTGACTATTTTAACTATAAAAATCAATAGTTTATTTATAAACTAACTGAGATACATACACATATATGTATTATGTAAATTATAAATTAAAATTTTTCAAAAAAACATTAAATCTCTTCAACATCAAATTTGAAAGAAAATTTTGTTTTTATATAAAGCACATCATTTTTAAATAATTGCATTAAAATAAATTATGAAATTTTATAAAGTTTCCTTTTTTTTTGATTTTCTGATTAAGTATTTATATTAAGCAAAATCATAAAAAAAGACATATTATTTTTAAACAATTCCTTTACATACACATAGTGTGTAAATATAAACAGTACTCCCCTAATAGACACTTGTCTTGGGCGGATAACTTCTTAACCCAAATTTTTCTATCATTCATTGGAACAGTATGATCTCTTTTGATAGAACAGCTGACTGACCGTGAATATGCGTTCGAAGGAGTTTTTACTGTACTATATGTACTTAGATTTTTTATATATATTTAGATAGTATCTTAGAAGTAATCAATGTAATATGATAATTTTACCACGAAATTTTGTCAACAATGACAATAGCTAAGTTCAGCAAAAGTTAAGCGCTAAAGTTTGAAGTCAAATTCAAAGTTTTAAAGTAAGTAAGGTTTTGTTATTTTCAAATTTAAATTAAAAACTTTTAATTATTTTGTTGTTAATTGTAGTTGAATCAGTCGCAACCGTACGAAGAAACAGAAACTCGAAGATAATTTAAATGAGAAGAAATTCAATATGCACAAAAACATATATATTATAAAATAATAAAATTATAAATATATATTTCTTGTAAAATAATAAATATACATTTATTATAAGATAATAAATATATATTTATTATAAAATAAAAATATACATTTAATATAAAATAATAAATATATATTTATTATAAAATAATAAATACACATTTATTATAAAATAATAAATATATATTTATTATAAAATAATAAATACACATTTATTATAAAATAATAAATACACATTTATTATAAAATAATAAATATACATTTATTATAAAATAATAAATATGTATTTATTATAAAATAGTAAAACAATTAAGTTTTTGTTATATTATATTATATTATATTATATTATATTATATTATATTATATTATATTATATTATATTATATTATATTATTTTATAATAATATATATATATATTTATATTATTATATGAAAAAAATGATTTGTTATAAATTGTGAAAATATATATTCACATTATATGAATACGATTATGATTTTATTATATTAAAAAAAATTTTCTATGAAATATAAGCGATGTTGTACAAATATAATATAGTTTTCCTTATTTATTAAGTAGACAGTTTTATATATTTTCAGATAGAATAATATTATTATTATTGTTACAATAATAATATTATTATAGATCTAATAAACTCAAATCATTACAAAAACTCAATTAGAATTGGAATGTCACTCTATTTCTACCATAAATAATATTAAGTACGTATATTTCAATATTTTTGGTTTCGCAGTATACAACATCTTCTCCGTTGTACTACTTCTGGCAAATGTTCTTTAACTTAGAATAATTTAGGTTATATTAAACATATTAACTTCTTACATCTTCACATTTAATTCCTTAGAGAGTCTTTTAATGGTGTGAAGTTTCGCATGGAGGCTTAAGATGCAGTCCACTTTTAAAAAAAAATCCTATCGTGGGTGAAGACCGTAATTTAATATTTGATTTTTTGGCGGCTTTTCACAGAGAACGTATAATATTACGGTCTTTGGTGCATTTTTCAAATATCGTAGTACGGTCTTTACATATTTGAAATACATTCCACTCGTTGAAAATAATTTTCTTTGTGGGAAATTCTGTGTGTTGTGCTTTTTGAACATCCACTCACAGCATTGTGCATTCGCCGTATATTAGGCTTATCAGGTGCCAGATGCTATTCAGTTTTATATGAGATATCGTCGGAATAAGATTTGTATAACGGAAAAACACGCAAAAAGTTACAAAACTACAACACCAAAACAATTATAAATTTTAACAATAAATTATTTAAAAATAATATATAAAAAAATTGTATAAGAATTCAAAATAAAATTTCTATTTATTGTGCTAAATACGAATTTTAGAAAAATTTATTTTTGTGCGGAGTAAAGTGACAATATTGTACGTTTCTCGTTTGCAATATAAGCTTATTCAGATTTCTTTCAGTTATAGCTGAAAGGAATCGAACGTTTGATATATGTAATATAAAGATACAGTATATAAAAAATAAGAATTTTGCATATGTGTTGAATACTTTTTCGATTTTCATATTGGAAGTGAAAATTGTCGGAAGAAGAATAAATATCAACAAACGTCAAACTTATTTAAATAATTACTTAAGTTAAATTCATTATATTAACTACAAAAACAAAAAAAAAGAGTAAAAGAAATTTAATTATAAAAATAATAAAAATTAACATATAAACTTATTTGATGTAAATTTTTAAAGTCTGTGAGAAAAAACAACTACGATTTTTGTGTGCTTAAAATTTGAGATAAGCAATTTCAAAACAAACACTTGTTGAATTCAAAAAGAAAAAGAATTTCAAGAAAATTTTGGTCAAATTTCTTTCAAATTGGCTTTAATCAACGATTTAAAGTTTGTCAAGGCTCTTAATTGGTATATTTCAAATTTGGAATATAAATTAAGAGGTAAGTTGATATAAAAATTTAAGTATTTTATTTATTTAACATATATATACATTTTAAATTAAATTGACTTTAGAGATGTTGAATTTTAAAATTTGCAAGATGTCTGTTCATAAATAATAAATAGCAAATTAATTTTTTTTTACATTTAATTGAAATTCAATTCATTAACATAATTTAATTTATTAATTTTTGTAGCATGAGTATCTTCCTTTTAAAGTTTGATTTATAAGAAACCGAACTTATTAAAGCATTTCTTTGTCATATTTTCATAATAAATTAATTTAAATAATTAAATTATTCAACTAAGTGTTTCAAATACAGTCACATTCAGATTCACAAATATTTTTTAATTTAAAACAATTTAAGTTTATTAAACATTATTTACATTTTATTTTATTTTTAAAATTTCATGTTTATACGAATTCATCTATATTAGTTTAATTATATTTTATTAATTAAAAAAAAAGGATAGTAGCTCTTCAAAGAGAGAACTATTTAAATTATAAATTATCAGGTCTGAAATCTTATTTATCAAAAAATTGTAAAATGTCATAAATTTGACATAATACATATTAAATTTAAATTAAATAAAAAAAGAAATTGTACTTCTCAATCTTTTTAAGCAAGGTATTGATAGACCAATCTTTTATATTTTTTATAAATAATATTTTTTAAAATTAATAAAGGGATTTTTTAAAATTTTGTATATGGATAACATATATTAAAATTTTTCAATATTACTTTCATGATTGTACCGCGAACTGAAATTAGGGGAAATACCTTTTTCTAATGAATGATACAACGTTCATAACATTTTATGTTTTTTCAAAAGTGGTTTAATAAAGCATATATGATTACGTTAATAATAAATATAATTTTTTCTAATTAATAATAGAACATTCATAATATTTTTGTTTTTTCAAAAGTGGTTTAATGAAACACAATAAAAATATATGATTGCATTAATAATAAATATAATACCAAAATCATATATAATTATAAACACATGTTATACAATTCAACTGAAATTAAATATCAAATTAATATGGAATATTAGCAAATATAAGAATTAAATATATAAATATATTTGATCCGAAAAAATTTGATCATTAATACAATAAATTAAATTATGTAAATTTAAAATAAATAAATTATGTATTAATATTCAAGTAAAAAATTAAATTTACTAAAATAGAAATTTTATAATTCCATTTATTACTGGTATAACTTGTGCTCTGAAAGTAGACTCAGTAGATTGCAACACTAGTATTATATTTAAATTTAAATTGAATTTAAAAAGCAAAAAAAAAATAATTGTTTGGATTATAAATCTAAAATAATTTTTTTTTTGTTTTAATAATTAAATATATGTTGTCAAAAATAATATCAAAAAAAATTGGATATTGGAATTACATAAAATATGAATTGTTGTTAAAAAAAATATACAGGTTAGGTTAAATTATACCGATCCATTTAGGCCTGTAGGCTTATTGTGCTACCATAGACTTCTTAAAGAAATAATTATAAAACTTATTAAAAAACGATTTTATTAAGTATTAATAAATTAATAAATGAATAATAAATAAAAAAAACTTAATTGAAAAAATAAATTAATTAAATTAGTGTATACATAATTGCAAAAAAATTTACAGACATATTTTTTAATAAAGATAAATTTTATTTAAAAATATATTGAATGGTAAAAAGAAATAATAAATATTAAAGAAATAGTAATAAATAGTAATTAAATTAAAATAAAAATGGTAAAAATTAAAAAATAAATATAAAACAATAAAAAATTTAATAAATAATAGTAAAAGCAAACAATATAACGTATAGAGAAGAAAAATGTTATAATATTTTACATGGATATGAAAGTATATTAATATTTTTAATAAATAACTAAGATGATAATGATAAAATTAAAGGGATTTAAAATTAATAATAAATTAAAACATATAGATTTTTGATTATATTAAACTAAGATAAAAAAATATGTATCATATAATAAATATTATAAATTTTATTTTAACTAAACTAAACTATTTTAAACAAAATAAAGAAATTTCGTTTCAAAATTGGATCACTTGCATAAACATTAAACAAATTTGGCCAGTAGATGGCCTGTCTAAAATTAATGTATTTAGTAATTTGAAAAGAATTGAAATTGTTTCTAATAACTTTCTTGTAATCGGATGTAGACATACCCAAAAACTGGAAATATTAACCTACATTTAGTTATTATGCAGATGCTAACCCTTAGGTAGAAGGGAAGCTACAAGTCGTTTTTCGAAGACCCTTAAGAATTTTTAATAACTAAACTTTAGACCATATAGAATTCTCAAAGGTAATAAATTTATTAATATTATACGTTAATTATATTATTAGTTAATTTATTCGTTATTCGTTAGTCATAAGTTACTAGTTAAAAATAAGGTTGTATTAATTTTTTTTGGAACTCTCACCTATTTGTGTTTTATGTTTATAGGGGTGGTGTTTGTAACCTTTGTCTAAAAACATTACTCATACGCCATGTTCTCAATTCCAATAAAAAATTCTGCTACTTGAAAATTTAATGCTTTTCTTAGTGTTCAGGCGTAATTATGTGAGAAAATACTATTTAGTTTATTTACTTAAATGAAGTGACTAAATAAATTACCATTTATTTAAAGCGGAAAACTTAAAGAAGGTCGTCACAGACTTGAGCAGATATAAAAGGCTTGATCAAAAGTCTCAATATTTTTTACCCTATAATTTTCAGTTGATAATGGAACTAAAATCACAAAAAATGATAAAGCCACATTGCGAACTGAAAAAAGTTTTTTATAAGTTTTAGTCTTAAAAAGTTTTAGTCATATGAAGTCACAAATGCACACAGCACAGGAAATGAGTGATAGCTTAGTATTAGTAAGTATTATTATTATATTGGAAGAATTTGCATTTTGACTTAAATATTTGTTGACTAAGAGCATTTCTCTTAGCCCAAGTTTCTTTATAAACTGCAGTATTAAACCAACATAGCCAATCAAAATTTTATTTCTTCAGTCGTTCCTGTGTTTTTAGACATTAGTGTAAACGACTAAAACATATTTTCAGGACTCATTCTCTTTCTTACAAAACCTAAAAGTTTCATTGGAGTAAGTTACCATTTTAGTAAGGTAATAGGTCAATTTACCTATGCTCCTTTAAAATTCTTGTAAAAATTCTTAAGTGATTTTTAAGCAGATAAAAAGGGCTTAGTAAAGGAAAGAATATAGAAAGTTCTATTAAGCTATGTATTTTACAGCATTAAAAAATGACTAAGCCATAGTAATATGTTACTTAACATTAACCTTTTGGTACTGTTAAAATTTTTTTTTAAATCTCATCTTTATATAAACCATCAGTAGTATGGTTCATACTACTGAATCATAACAGATTCTTGGGTCTCAAATAGTTCTGCTATTTTCTTCATCACTTTTGATTTCATCTGAATTTTACAATGAAAATAACTAACACATTTTAGTATCTTCTACTGATAGATGTAACTGATAGATAGAAAAAAATTTTGGGATTATTCTTTAAGTGCTTTTTAATTTGAATGCTTGAAATTAATTAATATATTAATACATCTGAGCTTCAAATTTGGCAGGGTACGAGTTCGATTCCTGGTACTTGTAGTCTCAAAAAATTATTTTCGAATAATTAAATACAAGAATTATTTCTAAGACGATACTCGAAAAAATTTAAATAATTTAAAATAATATAAAAAAGAATTTTTGTTGTTGTAGTTCACTTCTTTTCGAAAAACGTTTATATTAATTTTATTTAAAGTATATTCTTTTCAAATAATTTTGTTTCAATTTTTTTTAGTACTAAATTACTATTTAGTTTATTAAAATACTATTTCTACATATCTATATCAAATTAATTATAAAATTTTTTCCTTATTTATACAAAGCTACTATGATTATCTATGGTAAGACTGTCAACACCAATAATTTAATCAGAATCAATATTCTTAATCGTATCACTTTGAGTTAATAGTAAAACTCAATCAGAAAATCAAATCTAAGCCTTCTCGGGATGCTAATTTCACTTTCACATCAATTAGAGAAACATCAAATATGAAAGCAAAATGAAATCATTCTAGAACTAATTGCCTATTATTTATTTTTAGCTTTGAAAAGATAAAATTTGTATATAAAAAAGTATCTGATAACTCTTTTTCCTTTTCAATATCCTGAGTATTGAAGGAAATTATTTAAATGAAACTGAGCATCGTTGGTAGTTTAATAAGCCGCGAATATTACAGCAAACAAGCCTTGAAAAACAAATAAGCCAATGAACAAAATGGAAGAAAAATCGCATTAAAATTGAAAACAAAAGTTGATTTCGAATGAAAAACAGGCAACGGAATAAAAAGGAGCAGATGAAATTGCGTTCGTTAGTAGTGGCGCGTGCTGTATCAGCGACGACAATTGATACCCGTACAGCATGTGGCCAGGCAACATGCTATGCCACTATCTCAACATAATCTGTGCAAGGATACACGTGCACCAAAACGGCGGTCATCATCGCCGTTGTCAGTGTAATCGCTGCTATTTTTTCATATCTGCTCTTCGTCTTATTATCATTGTTGGGGCTGTTCTCGTTATCATCGTGGCCGCTTTTCTCATGCACTCCACAGTGGAAAAGTGGCAGTGGAAAAGTGGAAAAAGTGACAGTGTGTCGTAGTCCTGAAATAATTGGCAGCTGATTCAAATTTTTGTGGAAAATTTTAAATGAATTATATAAGGAAGTTAGTTCACTTGTTGTGAATAGTGAAAAAGATTTGAATTTATGCCCAAAACTTAAAATAAATATTGTTAACTTGTTAATTTGTTGAAATTTTATAAGAATGATACCTGTTGATATTATATATTAGCTTTATTTAAACAACCTCTATGATAGTTCTATATATATCTTTTATTAGCTTTATTGTTTCTTTTGGCTGGCAAAAAGACTATAAATAAATTAGT